TATTTCAGTCAGTCTGCCTGTACGTTCCCCACTCTGTCTTTGGTGAATCCTCTCATGCTCCCAAACATCTGGCCTGTACTCCAGTTCTTGTATGCATAAATAAATAAATCTTAAAAAAATATTTAATAATCAGGCAATAATCTGCTCAGTCTTTGTAAACTCTCTACTGAGTAATTTATTTTTTACAACAAGTTTCTGCTGGCTGCTGTGCTTTTTTCTGTCACCTTCTTCCCTTCAAAGGAGGAAGGATTCTTGAAGGAGCTTCCAACTCTACCCCGCAATGTAAAATACTGTCCACAGTTTTAGTTAGAGAAGAGGTGATGGTCTGTATGATGAGCTGAGTCATTAATAAATGGCCTTAAGATTCAAGGAGACAGAAATCATTGTCATGAACGAAAATTGTGCAGACATTGACCGAGATGTACAGTCTAAATAAACCAGCTGATGTAATGGAAAGATGAAAGGGTAGAGATGATAAGGTAGACTCTGAAGAAAGCCATCCACAGGGTGAAACCCATGACTTGCAGGTGAAGAAGGATCTTCCAGAGATGAGGTTCATGGATTCGAATATCTGTAAGTCTATGGTGAAGGCCTCTGTGAATCCAGTAGATTAGCACATTGGTGAGAAAGAGGAAGGACCACACAGGAATAGTGAGTTGAATCCAGCTGTTTGGAAACTCTCCTAGGTTGTCATATAATTTGCTGCATCTTCTCAGCTCCACAGAAACAGTGAAATGGTGGGAATACTTAATCCATGGTAATGATGTAACAGTAAACATGATTCTCAGTAGACTTGATTCTATAAATATTGTGGGTGGTTAGTTAAGGAATGACTACAGACAAAATAACAGCTCATTGTTGCAAAGAGGAAATAAAGGATAAAAGCACCAAGATTTCTTACAACCCGGACAATGACAGTTTGTTGGAAGATGTCAATAATATAAAAAAACAATTATCTGCAACATCGAGTACAAGATCCATTTTAGCTCTAGCAAATAGGGGTGGATGGAGGATCTCGTGGTGGTGTAGGTGCAACAAGACACAATGGGGGACTCAGTCAGCGGGAGTCAGGCTTTGTCATCAAATGGGTCTAATGCCAAATTAGAGAGGGTCCGTCCACCATCCAGTGCTGCCAGGACAGGAAGCCTAGGCTGGTCTGCAGCCCTGGGAAGCAATAGGCTCAGCCTAGGGGATTCAAGGGTAAGTTTTTGAGTTCGTTAGGCTTCTCTATACCATATATGAATGACATGTTTGTCTTTCTCCTTTGGACTCATTACAATTAGCACCATCCATGTTGCCCCAAATGGCATGAGTTTATGTTTTTCTGATAAGTAGTATTCTATTATCTATATACCACTTCTTCTTGATTTCTCATCTGTTTTCAGGAATTTTGGTTGTTTCCATAGCTTGGATATTGTAATTAGTGCTACAGTGATCATGGATGTGCAAGTTGTCCTTCACAGTATTGTATTTATATTCTGTGGGTACATACATAGAAGTGGGACATGCTGGGCCCTATGGCAGATACACTTTTAATCTTCTATGAAACCTCAATACTGTTTTATATATATATATAACGTAATTTTTGTGCAATGTCTGCTTGTATGCTTTCTCCTCAGGTGTATTCCCCATAAAATTCCCAGCACCAATTCACCCATGAACCATTACCATAGTCTCTATTACTCTTCTCCCCCATGGTTTGCTCCTTCTACCTCTCCTCCCTTGCAAAATGTCTCTGATTTATAGTTTTCTGCTAATTTTGGTTTTTTATTTATTACTACTGCTATTTATTTTCCTGGTCCCTTATTTGATTCCCCTATATTCCTCCTATAAGTGAAATCAACCAATATTTTTCTTTATCTCTCTGGTTTATTTCACTGAACATAATCCCCTCTAGTTACATCCATGTTGAGAATGGCATGTGCTGATCTTTTTAGATTGCTGAATAGTATTCCATTGTATATATACAACATCCTCTGGATCCAGTCATATATTTTAGAACATTTGAGTTTCCACATCTTACCTATCATAAATACTGCTGCAATAAATATAGGGGGGGCAGGTATCCTTTTGAGTTAATGCTTTTGTATCCTTTGGGTAGATTCTTAGGAGTGGAATTGCTGGGTCATGTGGCAGCTCCATTTTAGTAGTTTGAGGAAACTCCACATAGTTTTCCATAATGGTTGGACCAGTTTATATTCCCACCAGCTGTGGGAGAATTCCTTTTTCTCCACATCCTTGTGAACATTTGTTGCTGCCTATTTTTTTTTAATATTTTACTTATTTTATATATTTTTACATCATTTTTGCACAATGTATACATTTTCATTTTTGCACAGTATATGCATTTTCATCTTGGTTATATTCCCCATACAATTCCCACCCCCCTTATATTTCCTGTTTTTTAAATATGTGCCATTCTCTCTGGTTTAGGGTGGTATCTCATTGTAGTTTTGATTTGCATTTCCCTGATTTAAGTGATGTTGAACATTTTTTCATATACCTGTTGGCCATTTGCATTTCTTCTTTGGAGAAGTCTTTTTAGCTCTTCTTCCCATTTTTTGACTGGATTGTTTATTTTTGTTGAGTCCTGTGAGCTCTTTGTAGATCTTTGTGATCGTCTCTTACCAGTTGCATTGTGCGCAAAAATTTTCTCCCAATCAGAAGAATCTCTGTTTTAGTTAATATCCCTTTTTCTGTACTAAAGCTTTTTAGGTTGATGTCATCCCTGCTGTTTATCTTTTCCTTTACTTTCTTTGCTTTCTGGGTTGTGTCTTTAAAGATGTGATGGATATTTATATCATGTAGTATTTTGCCTATATTTTCTTCTATGTATTTTATGGTTTCAGGTCTTATGTTGAATTCTTTTATCAAATTTCAGTTGGTTTTTGTGCATGGTGTGAGGTAGTAGTCTAGCTTCATTTTTTGCATGTAGCAGTTCAGTTTTCCCAGCATCATTTATTGAACAAACTGTCCTTGTTCCATTGCCTATACTTTGCTCCTTTGTCAAAGATTAGTTGTCCATAAATATGTGGGTTTATTTCTGGGTTTTCTATTCAATACCATTGGTCTGTGCTTTTGTTTTTCTTCTAGTATCATAGTGTTTTAATTTTCATGGCTTTCGAGTACAGTTTGAAGTCTGGGAGTGTGATGCCTCCATTCTTCTTTTTAGTCAGGAGAGCTTTGGCTATTTGCAGAAACCTTGATACTGTTTCCATCAAAAACTGAACCCATCTACATTCCCATAAACAATGTAGGACTGTACCCTATTTGCCATGTCCTTGCCAGCACTTATTAATGTCTCGTCTTTCTGATATAGGCCATTCTCACAGACATGAAGTGGTTTTGTTACAGCAATTTCCCAGAGAAATCTGACAGCACTCAGAGAGGTGGAGAGAGATTTAATGTCACACTAGCGCGCTCAGTGGGAATGTTCCCCAAAGGGCTGAGCAACCAAGAACAAGAATGGCAAGGTTTTTTTTTTTTTTAAGATTTATTTATTTATTTATACAAGCACTGGATACAGTCAGAAGCGTGGGAGGGTGAGAGAATTCACCAGAGACAGAGCTGGGAGAAGAACAGGCAGACTGACGAAATACACTGCTGAGGGGAGCAGCGGGTAGCAGGAGAGGTCTGCGTGCCATGTGGGACCCTCACCCAGTGGCCGGGGATCGAACCAGCGCTGCAGAGGCTGCGGGCAGCTTCGCAACCCAGCACTCAACCGCTGCGCTACCAGGGGAGGCCCAAGAATGGTAAGGTTTTACACAGTTTATATAAGGAAACTTGCTATCCCATCCACCATAGCATAAGCATTCTTTATAGTTTGGGAAGGGGGTTCAAGGGAGTCACGGCTACCACCACGGACAAGCAGTGCAGCACAAACAGCAACTTCTTCGCTTCAGCAAGCAGCAGAAACAAAGCAGGAGACTCCCCCAAGCAGCAGCCTTGGGAAACTTTCTGTTTCATTTCCCCCCTTTTGATGCCCCTACTATGTGCTAGGGAGTATCAAGGTCTGGACTCATAGCAAGCAGCAGGAAAGAAGCCTAAGGGCTCATATTGTCTAACATTTGGAGTTTAGTAGCCTCCAAACAGGACTGGATAAAACGTGTGGCCAGATTAAAAGCCATGGCCCAAGGTTGAGCATCACAAGAATGGAGACCAGTGCACCCAGGACAGGCGTGAGCAAGGCACAGTGCAGTGATGCTGTCCCACCAAGGGAAACAAGAGAAGCAGCCACCACTGGGTCCAACCCAGCAGCCCATAAGCATTCCGCCTGTGATGCTTCTCGGGCTTCCGCCGTGCGCAGGCCAACCCGCTTCCGGGCTGTGGTTGGAGCAGGGCTGCAGCAGGTCACGGTGTTGGGTTGGAGTCTCCTCGCAGGGTCAGTCTGAGCTGGTGTGCAGGGTTCGGGTATGCCGTCCACTACTCCGACGTCTCTGGCGAGCTGGCGTATCTGGGGAGTCTTGTTCCCTCGGAGTAACACCTGCAACTTTGACAGTAGTAGGGTGGTAAGGATGACAGAACAGGGCCCCACCCGACAGGTTTGAGTGGCTCTTTTTCCAGTCCTTTACCCAGACTTGGTCCCCAGGCTTGTGGGGATGAACTGGGGATTCCGGAGGAACGGGGCCTCTGGATGACAGTTTCATTAATTTTGTGTAGGACATTACTAAGGAGCTGCAGCTGCCGATTTAGTCCCAGTTCGCCAGTGTGTCTGAGGTCTCCCCTCACACAGACACAACAGGGGAGTCCGGCCAATCAAAATCTCAAAGGGGGTGTAGCCACTGGCACCAGGAGTGCACCGAATTCTGAGCAGCACTAAGGGGAGAAGGTCCACCCAGGGCTAACCTGTTTCCTGGCAAAACTTTCCCAGAGTCGTTTTAATGGTTCGGGTGACTCGCTCTACTGTCCCTGAACTCTGTGGCCAGTAGGCGGGAAGATTCCATGTAATGTGAAGTAAGCGAGTCAGGTGACTGGTGATTTCAGCAGCAAAGGCTGGGCCAGTATCACTGCCAGTAGTCACTGGGACCCCATATCTAGGAATTATTTCTTTTACAAGAGCTTTGGTGACTCTTGGGCCTTCTCCATTCTGGAGGGGACACCTCTACCCACCCAGAGAAGGTGCAGATCAAAACAAGCAGATATCTGTAGCCTCTGCAAGGCTTGATTTTTGTGAAGTCCACCTATAGGTCCTTAAAAGGGAGGAGCCCGTGTGCTGTACACAAATCTGGCACCTGAAGAAGCAAACTGAAGGGACAAAAGTTTATCCATCTGGTAGGAACCATCACTCCTCTGGTGTTGTCGCCTTTTTTTTTTTTTAATTTGTTATTTTATTTATTTATATATTTTTAATTATTTTTAAATTATTTATTTTTTACATCATTGTTCATTTTTAAACAATATTTGCTTCCCCCCAACCCCATGTAGTCCCCATAGAATTTCCTTCCCCAATGTACTGTGCACCATCACCTCAGTCCCCTGTGCTCCTCCCTCCCTCCTTCTGATCCCTCTCCCTCCTCCTCCCCTGCAGGATGTCTCTGGTTTATAATTGCCTGTTTTTGTTTTGTTGTGTTCTTATTGCTATTATTTTTTTTACACTGGTGTCTTTTTTGGTTCTCCTATATTCCTGCTATAAGTGAAACCATCCGATATTTCTCTTTTTCCTGCTGACTTATTTCACTGAGCGTAATTCCTTCTAGCTCCATCCATGTTGCTGCAATTGGCATGAGTTTATCTTTTTGATGGCTGAATAACATTAAGAATGGCACATATAAAAAAAATAGCAACAACAAATGTTGGCAAGGATGTGGTGAAAAAGGAACTCTCCTGCACTGCTGGTGGGAGTGCAAACTGGTCCAACCACTATGGAAAGCTGTCTGGAGCTTCCTCAGTCTACTAAAAATGGAGCTACCATATGACCCAGCAATTCCACTCCTAGGGATCTACCCAAAAGACACAGAAACACTGATTCAAAAGAACACGTGTACCCCTATATTTATTGCAGCACTATTTATAATAGGTAAAACCTGGAAACAACCAAATGCCCAAAAATAGATGACTGGATCAAGAAGATGTGGTATATATACACAATGGAATATTCTCCTTTATTTTTGACGCAAGCCCTCTTTCATCTCGACTCAGGTGTAATTGCCGGGGCAGGCCCTGAGCCTGAGCACTGGGGGCTCCAGGCCACAGTGGCAGCAGGTGATGTCTCAGCTGAGCCACCATGGGTGCCCGAGGCGTTCACTGTGGAGGAGCTGACGGATGAGGGGATGGCGGTACTGGGCAAGGAGGAGCTGGTGTAGCGCCTGCAGCACGAGGCGGCGGTGCACCTGGCCACTCTGGAGCAGCGAGGCCACCTCATCTAGGTGAGTCGGCAGTTGCAGAGCCACCAAGGCCAGATCTGCGACTCACACAATTTAACTGGCACCTGCAGGCTGAGAACCCCGGCTGTGAGACCTCTGCTGCCTTTTTGCGTAGGCATCATACTGTGTGCTGGGGGCCGCTCTCTAGGGACCCCAGCATCCCAGGCGGTGAGGACCTGGGTAGTTGCTGGCAGAAGTTGGCTGAGCAGGAGGGCTACCAGGAGGAGGAGCTCTGCCTGGCGTTGGGCGAGGAGTGGGGGGCCCAAGGCGGTCCCTGTGGCGTGGGGGGACGGCCTCTGGCACTAGGCTGGCATCTGAGTTTTCTTTGTACTAAAACCCACCTGAATTGCTCCCCAAAAGCCAGGATTGTGCTAGGCCTGTAGATGTGGACGCCGCCCCAGTCCAGGGGCCACTGGCTTTGGAGGGTCCTGATCAGGGAACAAAAACCTCACAGCAATTTTCCGAGAGAAATCAGAGGGCACTCAGAGAAGCAGAAAGTGAAAGATTTAATTGCCACACCGGCAGACTCAGTGGGATCATTCTTCATTGTTCAGGAATTGGTTCAAAGGAGTCATGGCTACCACCTCAGACAAGCAGTGCAATATGCCCAGCACTTCTCCTCTCCAGCAAGCAGCAGAATCAAAGCAATACTGTCCCCCAAGCAGCAGGCTTGGGAACGTTTGCTTCAGGGTATCATTGTGTTTTAAATCAGGGGGTTGTGAATGGATCAAGAAGGTGTGGTCCATATATACAGTGGAATACTACTCAGTGATCAAAAACATAAACTCATGCCATTTGGGAAATATGGATGGGGCAGGAAGGGATACTGAGCTTGATAAGTCAGAAGGAAAAAATAAATATCAGATGGTTTCCCTTATATGTGGGATATACAGAAACTTGCAGCCTGATCCTAGATCTGAGGCATACAGCAGGGGAAAGGGAGAGAGATGGTTCCAAACAGGGGAGGGAAGAGCACAAGGGACTGTAGTGATGGATCATGGGTGCTATGGTGGTGAGAGAACTATAAGGACTACACCTGAGAGAGAAATCAAATATTATACAAAAATTAACAATGATGTAAGAGAATAAATAAATAGATTTAATAAAAAATTTTCTATCACTCACTGACAGCTAGAAAACAAATAAAATTAAATAAAGCAGAGGATCCTGAAGTTACAAAATGGGGGTGAGAGAAATCCTATAACATCCAGTCTCACACAAGGCAGAGCGCTCATTCCACGATGGAAAATAATACTACAGAAATTCGGGTGAGTTACATTAAGTGATAACATTCTCAATAGTCCACTGCATCCTAAGACTGTCCCACTCACAGCTCCCCACAACCTGGCCCCATTCTCTGGGGTACCCCACGGGATGAGAGGCATCCCAGAGTCCTGGGGACTGTTGTTGCCTGAGGAAGCATAGAAGAGACCTGGTCAGCGCCCAGAGATGAGACCCTCAGAGGAACTGATGAGGGTGACTCTCCCTAAAATTCCCTCTACACTGTCCTCAGGGGCTCAGGACCCAACCCCTGATCCATACTTACCTGCTGCCTGACTGTAGCTGACTGTGTGTCCCCCTGTGGAAAGAAACATCATGTGAGACAAAGGAGGAGTCAGGTGACAAGTCCTAAAGGAATTCCCAAGTCTAGGTGAGAGGGAAGTTTCTAGAACTGTGACTGAAGACCCAGGTCAGGATTGGGATATATGAAGAATGGATATGAAAGGGAATTGGAGTCTCTCCTCAGCAGGGTCCTTCCCCTGTGACATTTCCTGGGAAACAGATCCCCATCACCACAGTTATAAGGTGAACAATTGGTGATTCATTTTCGTAAGTGCTTTACAAAGAGTGAGTGTTCGCAATCAGCTCCAGACTGGGCAACACGTGTGTGGATCAGACTTTCTAGTAACCAGGAAGGGCAAGTTCTCTCTGGGACACGAAAGTCCCCAGTGGACAAGCTCCCCCACTCCCTTCCGTACCTGACCCCGTATTCCTCCACCACACAGCTGCAGCCACCACAGCTCCAAGGAGAACCAGGCCAGCAATGATGCCCGCAGTGGGGATGGAGGACTGAGGAGGGGGCACTGGAAGGGAAGGGAAGGTGAGACCCTGAGCCTCAGGCCTCATCCTGACCCTCTGAAGGTCTCCAGAAGGGCTCCTTATGCCCCTGAGCAGAAGCTCAGTGCCCACGTCCCCCTCCTTACCCCAAGTCAGGACTGTAGGCACCAATAGCCCCTCATGCTTCACATGGCACGTGTATCTCTGCTCCTCTCCAGAAGGCACCACCACAGCTGCCCACTTCTGGAAGGTTCCATTCCCCCCAGGCCTGGTCTCCACCAGCTCTGTGTCCTGGGTCAGGTTCTCCCCATTCTGCTGCCAGGTCAGGGTGATGTCCGCAGGGTAGAAGCCCAGGGCCCAGCACTTCAGGGTGACCTTCTGGTCAGAGGTGGGGTGGTGGGTCACTTGTGTTTTGGGGGGATCTGAAGAGAATGGTCAAAAATTCACACTTTGGGTTTCCTCTATGGATACTGAAGCAGCCTCACTGACCATCCTCAGAATGGACATGACAATTGGTTTGGAGGGAGGAAGCACAAAACTTAGAAACCAGCCTAGTCTGGAGAATCTGGAATATTCAGGTGAGAGCTCAGAGTAGGAGGATGCAGGTCTCTAAGGAGAACACAGACCTGGGTGGACGGTGGATGACACAGAAAGGCAGGAGTCAGATCCAAACTGTTCTCAAACCAAAAACAAGACCTTGAGGAGAAACTCATGGTTCCCAGGATGGCTGCCGGGTCACAAGGATCCAGGGAAGAGTTATTTCAGGATGGCCTCCCTCCCTCAGGAGAGACTGGAGTCTTTAACTGTCCAGAAAAGTGGTGTCTTCTGGGCGAGTCTCTCTCTAGCACAGAACATGAAACCCAGGGGACTCTCCCTCTCTGCCCAGAAAGCAGGTGCTGTTCTGCCCATTATTCCAATCTCCCTGTGGGCACCAGGAGAGGGGAGGTCAGAGGCCTTGTGGCCCCTCTTACCTGTGCGCTGCAGCACCTCCTTCCCCAAAATCAGGAATCTGAGGAGCCACTGGAAGCACCTGCCATGTATACTGTGCCTGACGCGCTCGGCCCTCCCCTGCGCCTCCCACTCGCGCTGGGTGATCTGAGCCACCGGGTCCGCGGGGGTCCAGGAGCGCAGGTCCTCGCTCAGGGAGATGAAATCCGCGCCGTCGTAGGCGAACTTTTCATACCCACCGAGGAGACTCAGGTCTGGCCCCACTTCACAGCCAAACATCCTCTGGAGGGTGTGAGACCCTGAAACCCAACCCACCCCTGTGGTCAGTCCAAGGTCACCCACGGTCACCCCGCGCTCTCACCCTGAATAAACATAAACTGAAAATGAAAGGGCCGGCAGGACAGTCCCTTCCCCGGGGAGGGGCCTGGCAGATCCATCAGCCTCGAGGGGTCAGTGGACCCTGAAACTCAGGACGCCCCGGCTTTATGGTGGGAAGGTGGGAATGGGGGTGTGACCTGACCCTGGTCCCGCTCCATGAGGCTCACCGTTCTTGCTCTGGTTGTAGCGGCCACGCAGGTCCCTCAGGAGCGCTTCGCACCACAGCACGTTGTCCCTTTGGTTCTGAGTCTCCTCATCCAGGTCCTCCTGCCCCACCTGCTCCGCCCAGGGCGCCCGAGGCTCCACACTCTGGCCTGGAGAGTCGCTGTCGAACCGCCCGAACTGCGTGTCGTCCACGTAGCCCACGGCGATGAAGCGGGGCTCCCCATTGTGGTTGTGGTTGCCATTGCCTTTGCTGTTGCCGTTGCCATTGCGGGACGTCGCGGTGTAGAAAAGCCTCAGGGAGTGGGAGCCTGGGGGCGGGAGGGGAGACCCGGGCTGACCCTCCTCTCAGCGCGGGCCCAGGGCCCAGGGAGATGGGCCTGGAGGGGAGAAAGGGGCGGGGCCGTGAGAGTGAAAAGGGGGGTGGGCCAAGAAGGGCCCAGACTCAGGGGACCAGAGCACTCAGGGGAGGCGGGAGGGACAGAAGGGGCCAGAACACAACGGGCCTGAAGGGGAACAAGAGATTGGGGAGATGAGCCTTTCCTGGGGTCCTGCACCCGCAGGGGGCTCCTTGCTCCTCCCTCCTGGAGCAACAGTGTCCAGCTGGACACGCACTCACCCGCCCGGGTCTCCATCAGGGCCAGGGGCCCCCAGAGCAGCAGCAGGAGGGTGAGGGGCATCACACTCCCTTCCAGGGGCCTGGGGAGAAGGAGTCCAGGAGGGTCCTTGGAGACTTTGTAACTGGAGCAGGATGATGCTGATTGTCTTCCCTGGACACCCCCAGGAAATGGGGAGAGAGAATGGGGGTGAGTGTGGGGTCATCAAGGCTGCACCACCCCACAGAGCCTGTGAGAGGGAGACATGATGCTGTGACAGTGTGACATCCACAGAAAGGGGAGGCTCCAAATTCCCTTCCCCACCTTAGGGAGGAGTGGATTTGGGCTGGGAGAAGCAGCAGCCTGGAGGAATGAAGAAACTAGCAGCGTTTTCAGGTAATTGTGAATATTCCAGCGTGAATTAAAACTGTACAGGTGGTAGTTTCTCGAAGGTTATTTGCAAAGTGAAACCTGAAATAATATCAGGGAATATTTCCTATTCTGTTACATTTCCATAGGCCTCTCTTGCATATTGGTTGGGACTTGTGCTAATGTATGGTTTTTTAAGGTGATACATTGTTTCACTAAGTTACATAGATTTTTAGTGTTAATTACACTGGAATCAAATGATCAAAAATGTTTTATTTTTAATCACAAATCCCAAAAGGAAAATTCATACTATAAATTGTCAAGTAGTGATGCACTCAATTTTTCATAATTCTGGTTTTCTCTGAGAGCTTATATTTTATCAGGCAAAGTTACTGTCATTTGCCATTGTTGATTTTCTTCAAGAAACAGACACTCATTTTGAGGAAAGTGTCTGCTAATTACCCAAATTTAAATAACCTTAGTTTGTGTCATTCATCCTTTCAGGTAAGATTGGTGTTGCCCACAAATAAAAAGAGTCTAATTCATCTCATACAAATATTTTCCTCAGGACACAGGGCTTGGGATGCCTCAGAGTGCTCTGTGTGTCCTTCCAGGTCAGCACACCAGATATTTTAAAATGTGGAGTTGAGGATGATGCAATAATGAAGATAACTTTTAATGCTTTTCCCAGGACATTTTCAAGTGAAACTGGCTTTGATTTTTGTTCCTGCAGGTAAGTGCTGGTGAAGAATCACTACTTCTGCAGTGGTGCTATAAGCTCCACTCTTATGAATTTTTACCTCAGCAAATGCCAAATAGTGAAAAGACAAATGGTGTCTAGGTGATGTTTTGAAACTAGTTTTACCTCATGGACCCCATGAAAGGTTCTGGGTGACTTCAAGGGCTCCACAGACCACACTTTGAGAAATGCTTTTCTCAGTGAACCAGGGAGCATCTCCCAAGTGTTCTCTCCTTTGCTTCCTCTTCACGTCCCAGAATCCCTCTCCCTGGCTGGCTCCTGCCTCCCCAAGCTGCCTCCCCTGCAGATACAATGGGGAGCAGAGAGAGGACCCTGGAGACGTGGAGCTTGCACTGTCAGGAGAGATGGATGCTGAGTAAAGGTGACAAAGACACGTGTAAACCCGACCTGAGCCCCATGCTGGGAGGAAGGAGCGTGTTTATTGTGAACGCAGAGAAGCAGGAGCCCTAATAGGACCCGACCACTACTATCAATATAGTATCAAAGGATGTTAAATATATATATATATTAGAAACAAATTAAGCATAAGGAAAAGATTTTATCTCTTCCCATAACTGTCACTTCTATCCCTGACACATGTGCTCTGGCCCCATAGACCAGCCTGTGACCTCTGCCCTCAGCCCCCCTCCACGTCCTGCCCCAGCACCCAACCATACTGAAGAGGCCTGTAGCCTAATCTACAGCCTGGTCCTGGCTCCGTCCTCCCCCTCATCTGCTCTTCCCTCATTTATTATGCGCTGAAGGACAGGCCTCCCCAAGATGTTCAGAAAGGTGTCCCCCAGATACGCCAATAGGCACGTGAATTATTTTCATCTGAGGATCATCAGAGGTTCATCTTAAGAAACGGTTACCACATCTATAACTACCTAGTATGAAAATGGGTGGCCTTACCCAAAATTAGGCTTATTACCAGAAACAAGCTTTGTATCTGAGAAACCTACTATGTCAGGGCAAACATAGAATATCAAACCTTTTTTTTTTTTTAAATATACATATCCTTTTTTTTTTTTTAAAGATTTATTTTATTTATTTATACAAGCACTGGGTACAGTCAGAAGCGCAGGAGGGTGAGAGAATTCACCAGAGCCAGAGCGGGGAGCAGAGCAGGCAGAGGGACCGAAGTACACTGCTGTGGGGAGCAGTGGGCAGCAGGAGAGGTCTGTGCGCTATGTGGGACCCTCCTCCAGTGGCCTGGGAGCAGCCAGGGATCGATCTGGCGCTGCAGAGGCTGCAGGCAGCTTTGCAACTTAGTGCTCAGCGCTCAACAGCTGCGCCACCAGGGAGGCCGGAATATCAGACCTTTGTCATGAGTCACCCTGTCCTTGCCATATGATCCCCTCCTCTCTCCTGGGGTGCCAGGACCCCATCTCACTCCTTAGCTCACCCTGGGTTCCTGCACAGATTTCACACACTCATTTAGATGTAGACTCCCTATGCATATTTAGGGAAATTTGGTTACTTTCTAGTACTAAAAAACAAAAAGGAAAAAGAAAAAAGATGTTATAAAATTTCAGGTGCTCAGAATAAGAGTTCTTGAAAATTAGAGATTTTAATCATAGAAATGAATAAATGAGTAGATGAACTGGAATATCAAAGTCTCACTCCCACTAAATAATAATGTAAATGGAAAAGAAATGACAAGCAGAGAAAAGACCTACAAGAAACTGAGTCTATCAACCAGGAGATTCCAAATAGTTAATAATAATAATACAAGTGTTGAAAAGAATGGAGAGTGGAAATGATGAAAAAAATTGAAGAAAATCCCTGAGCGCTCAGATAAAATGTGCACGCTGAGTGTCCTCCCCGGTTCCTCCTACAGGGGATGAGCAGCCCCACACCATGACCCGCCCCAGGAACTTTCAGAAAGAGGCTGGAGAAGGACAGACCTTGGGGCCCTCAAGAGACAACTCAGGCCTGGAGGCCAGAGACCCTGGAGCCAGGCCTGCCCAGTTCTCAGGGGAATCCAGCCCAGACTCCATGTCAGGCCCAGGTAAGGGGAGGCGCTGGGGGCACAGACATTCACTTCAGCTGTTTGTGGTCTCAGGGGTGACATTCCACGTCCCTCCTCTAGTAGGCAAAGGGCACTAGTGGGCAAAAAGGGAAACAAAGATGCTGGACACAGAGAACAGGACACAGGAAAATCAACCACAGGTGAGCAGGGACAGGAGACAGGCCAAGTGTGAGGTGAGGGATCCGGGCCCTCAGCCCTGCCCAGGTGATCAGGCCCCAGGCCCCGGGAGGCAGGACTGAGGCTGCGGGACAGGGGTCTGCCCAGGATAAAGTGGGCAGAATAGCTGGTGTGTGTGATATGTCCATGGAGATTCTGACCCTGAGGTTGTCTTGGGGGTGATTAAGAATGAGCACAACAGGAAATAAGCTAGTGAGGGAACAGGATAATTACAATATCAGGGGCAATGAAAAACCAATCCAAGAAGGAAAAGCATCCTGGTCTACTCACTGCTCAGCTGTGACTGGCTCTCACAAGGTCATAATGATGCAAACCTTGGATCCTGGGGTGTATCTCAACAACCTGCCAGAGGGCCCTTGGGGGCGGGGGGTAAATGCCCGTGCTGTGGATTCCAAAGGGGCCACCTTCCAGGCCTCCTTGCCACTCAGAGCCAGCTCTCGTGGCCTGGGCAAGAGGCCTGGGTGGTGTGGGCAGGGACTTCTCCAAGATGCTTGCTGAAAACCTCAATGTGAAGGAGCAGAGAGCAGGGCAACATCAGGGGCCCTGGAAAGGCTGCTGGGAAGGCAGTGACAAGCCTCCCTGGGGAGGAGGCTGTAGCTGTTCACCCAAGAGCTAAAGCACAAAGGAGGAATCAAGTCACCAGGCCCTTCAGAACATGCCCCACATGCTCTGTGGTGCCCAAGCCCTGACACAGGAGACAGCTTTTCTGAAAGAACACATGATTCTGGTCAAGGAACACATTAAAAAATTCTAATAAGACACAACTCAATTGATGCAGGTGTCGATAGAGAGGAACCAGGCCAAATCCAGAGAGCAGCTGCTGCAGAACCTCCTAGAAGCAGATGCGTGAGCATTTTGGAAGCTGACACAGAGGAGACACTGAAAACTCAGAGCCGTGATTTTTGACAGGCTGAAGCCTCATGGAGGAGGTTTGTGGTGGGCTCCACCCCCAGACAACTCAGAAAAATGGGTGCATTCAAAGGCTTTTAAGGACAGGCTGGAGGCCTTGACCTACCCACAGAGTGTGGCCACATTCACCCCTCAGTCTGTGGTATTTTATGAGCATTTTCAAGCACACAGAGAAATTGAAATAACAGTGCAGAGCACACCCTAGATTCAGCATTAGCATTCGCCACATTTGCTTTATCACTCATCTTTATCCACAGCTCCATCTCTCTATTCATCCATCTTATTTTTCTGATGCATTTCAAAGTTAGTTGCAGATGTCAGTACCCATCTTTCTTTGATTTTTTTTTAAAGATTTGTTTTATTTATTTATGCATACAAGAGCTGGGGTGCAGGCCAGAGGTGTGTGGGTGAGAGCATTCACCAGAGATAGAGTAGGGAACAGAGCAAGTGGATCTACCAAAATACACTGCTGAGGGGAGCAGCGGGCAAAACAGGAGAGGTCTGCTGTGCCATGTGGTTCAGCTCCCTGGCCGGGGTTAGAACTCTAACTGCAATGGCTGCCAATAGCTTCGCAGTGCTGAAACTTAACCCCTCATGTCACTAGGGACTCCCCACTTATCATATCTCAACACTTGAACTAAGAATCTTTTTATGAGATAAAACTCTATCTGGAGAAATGCACAAATCTTGAGTACACTACTGGAGGAGCTGTGACCCTTGTCAAGAACATTATGTATATTGTTCTTTTCTTCTCTTGGAAACAATGAACATTTAAATAATTTAATGATGTGTCTCACTTAACAATACAATTTATCCGCCCTCCCTCCTTTTGAGTAACTACCACAGTCCAATCTGAAGCCTCCCTGGCCCCTCCATTCTCAGCACATTCCTGTGACCA